CCCCCTATAGAGAGTGCAGGCTAGCCAGGAAGGGAGTCAAGCAGGTAAGTCTGGCCAGAGCCTGCCTCTGGCTCCTCACCCCACATAGCCCAAGCCCCCTGCCCCCCTCCTGTACACATCCCTTCCCAGACCCTGCACCCCAATCTCACAACCCAAAACCTCTGCACCCCCTCCTCAGATAACCCTAACCCTGTGCCCCCTTCCTGCACCCATTTCCCCTCCCAGTCCCTACCCCAGGTCACAACTCCCTCCCTTTCCACACCCAGTCCTGCGCACCAATCCCTTTCTGCACCCAGCCTCTATCCCAGACCCTGCGTCTCCTCCATTCGTATCATGGAAGAGTGTGGCCCTTGACCACTCACTCAGTTCTTGAAGTGGCCCCCATCCAAAGTTATTGCCCACCCCTGCCTAAGACAGACTGTGCAGCATGGGGGTGTAGGCCAACCCTAAGGGAGGAAATCGGGGCTAGACTGAGCCGGGGCAGGCAGTGGGTGATAGCAACAGAGGGGTCGGGGCTGGGGAGGCAACTCCCCCTCTTCCTGCTTAGCCAAGGAGTAACAGCTCCTCTGGCTGTGCTCATGCTCTCCCCGGTGACGAGGAGCAGTACTGAGGGGTGCCCAGGCCTTGCCCCGGAGGGGGACCCTTCAGAAAGTACATGCAGTGACTGCAGCAGGCCCTGCCGCTGGCCCTCACCGTGTTCACACTCAGACCCGTAGAAACCAGGGTAGCAGTCACAGGTGTAGTTCCCGATGGTCTCCACACACTCCCCACGCTGGCTGCAGGAGGAATGCTGGCAAGACGCTGCAGAGATATGGTGGAGGTTAGGATGCGCTCACAGCTCCATAGACACAGATCACAACCCACCCTCCTGCCTGGATCCTGCACTCCAGCGCTGCTGGATTTCTTCCTTGCAGGATTCTTTCAGAGTCTGTTAAAGTCATGGGAAAACCCCTCCCTGCAAATAGCCTTGTCTCAGGCTCTTCCTGGGCATTTGGGGCCTAGATAATACTTAGTGCAGCCAAGCTTTCCCAGCCAGGGGGCATTGGCCCCTTGCCAGCAGCGTGGGGCAGCAGCTGCTTTGCACGCATTATCACATAGCTCTTGGACCCACAGGCACTGCCTGGGTGGGTAGGCTGCCCTGGAGCCATTGTGTGGATGCTCTCTTGCGCAAGAAAGCTCTGATGGCCATTTTAGCCATAGGGGTTTCTTGCGCAAGAAATTCCTGTTGCCTGTCTACACTGCCGTCTTCTGGAAGAGCTCTTGCACAAGAGGGCTTATTCCTCCTGGGGAGAGGATTATCTCTTCCGGAAGAAGCCCTGTTTTCCGGCGCTGTACTGTAAATGTACTTGCGCAAGAACGCGCATGCAGTGTAGATGCTCAGCACGTTTTTGCGCAAGAACAACCATTCTTGCACAAAAAACCTGCAGTGTAGACGTAGCCTTGTAGTAGGGTGTCCGGCCCTTTAAGGGTTAGTGGCCTGGGCCAGCCCTAGTGAAGAGGTAGACACAGCTGAGCAGGGGTCAGCTGACGTCCCTGGATGAGTGGCAGGAAGCTGGAGAGAAGGGGATGCTCAGGGAGAGACAGGCCAATTGCTGTAATCAGCAAGAGGCTTCTGTAGGAAGCTGGTTTACTTGGAAGGAATCCAGAGTCAGGCCTGAAGAAGGCTGAGAGCCAAGGAGAACAGAATCCAGGGCATAAGGAAAGACTCCAGCCAGGCAAGGACACAGCCCTCAAGGGTTAGGCTTGGGCTACATGCTGTCTGAAATCATGGGAGGCGGCCAGCCCACTGACACTCTTCTATGCACAATGAGGCTGTGTCTAGACTGGCAAGGTTTTCCGGAAAAGCGGCTGCTTTTCTGGAAAAACTTGCCAGCTGTCTACACTGGCCGCTTGAATTTCTGGAAAAGCACTGACGATCTCATGGAAGATTGTCAGTGCTTTTCCGGAAAAGCGGCTGCTTTTCTGGAAAAACTTGCCAGCTGTCTACACTGGCCGCTTGAATTTCTGGAAAAGCACTGACGATCTCATGGAAGATTGTCAGTGCTTTTCCGGAAAAGCGGCTGCTTTTCTGGAAAAACTTGCCAGCTGTCTACACTGGCCGCTTGAATTTCTGGAAAAGCACTGACGATCTCATGGAAGATTGTCAGTGCTTTTCCGGAAAAGCGGCTGCTTTTCTGGAAAAACTTGCCAGCTGTCTACACTGGCCGCTTGAATTTCTGGAAAAGCACTGACGATCTCATGGAAGATTGTCAGTGCTTTTCCGGAAAAGCGGCTGCTTTTCTGGAAAAACTTGCCAGCTGTCTACACTGGCCGCTTGAATTTCTGGAAAAGCACTGACGATCTCATGGAAGATTGTCAGTGCTTTTCCGGAAAAGCGGCTGCTTTTCTGGAAAAACTTGCCAGCTGTCTACACTGGCCGCTTGAATTTCTGGAAAAGCACTGACGATCTCATGGAAGATTGTCAGTGCTTTTCCGGAAAAGCGTCCTGCCAATCTAGACACGCTTTTCCGGAAATGCTTTTAATGGAAAATCATGCCAGTGTAGACGTAGCCTGAGGGTTTAATTCTCCAGAGCTGTCAACTCAGCAACGTGACCAAGGGAGTACTAGACAGACACACAGGGCCGGGGTAGTTACCTTGGTAACACAGCGCCCTCTTTTTCTTTTGGCAGGGCTCATCGTTCCATTTTCCAGCCTCACGTTCCCTCTTGATGTAAATCTCCACACAGTCTTGGTTCCTTCCTCTGTTGTTGGGTTCCCCAGCAGCCCAGTTCACCGCTTCCTTTGTCAGGGCCTTGCTGGTACCCACCCAGGTCCAGACCTTGTTTATCTTTCGTATCCCAATCCAGTAGTATGTGATATGGCGGGGCAAGGAACTGTTGAGATGAGCAATTTCCTTCTGGTTCTGGATTGCTACGAGATCGGTGTAGAATGTCCTGCAAAAGTTTCTGGCCAGCTCCCATGAGTAATCCTGTTTGTCACCATAATGGTAGGTCCAGGCTCCCACCTCCACCTGAGTCACGAGCACTGTGGCAAAGGGTAGAAAGAGGCGAACTGGGGTTATGACCTGTGACAGACTGTGACAGATCGGCATGAGAAAAGCATTCGGAAGTTGCAATGTCGAGCACTGTATGTTGGGAAATGCCACAGTTAAGGTTGCCATGTAACTGAGTTCAGCCCTCTTGTGCAATGCCATCGTCTTCGTGGCACGGTAACCTGTAACTTGCCCACAGGTCCCCGGTCTCACTTAGGTGCTGACTGAATGAGCAGCTACTCAGTAGTTCTGTGTACTCCCCACTGGTCGATGTGTGACCGCACCTCTCCCCCACCTCAGCCCTGCTGTACAAACCCTGCTCTGCAGATAGATTCATTTCCCCAAAGGCTTTTCTATCGAACTCGCCTCTACAGCAGCTGAGTGCTTCCCAAACATGATTGAGTTTGTATTCACAATGCCCTTAGGAGATGAGATGGTGGGGATATCCCCATTTCACAGGTGGGGATATCCCCATTTCACAGGTGGGGATATCCCCACTTCACAGGTGGGGATAGCCCCACTTCACAGGTGGGGATAGCCCCACTTCACAGGTGGGGATAGAGGCATCGAGGCACTGGGTGCTCAAACTGCCATTAATTTGAGGTGCTGGACCAGCGCAATTAAGGCTGACAGTAATGGTGGGGATCCCATTTGAGTAGACCTCTCTGTGATACACAGTTTAGATCCGTGGATATAAATAATCTCTCTGCAGACTTGCAGGACTACAGTGACAACTGGACGGGCTCACATGCTCCCAGACAGGAGATGCTGCCTACACACGCTAGTGTGCCTGGGGACAGTTACCAGTGAGTCTGGTGCCTGCCCGCCCCAGTGGGCAGGGTTGCAGGAGGGTACAGCTTACTGAAGGAGCTTCCCTGGGCTGGGTGCTGGCTCCTGCAAATGGCAACCCCACATGCTGCTGCTTTTGCCGCTGTGGTCCCAGGCCCAGTCATTGGCCAGGACCTTGCTGGTCTCACTCATCACCAGGAGCGGCCCGAGGCCGGCTGCAGCAGCTGGCACCCTAGGCAGGGCGGCGCAATCGGTGCCCCTGCCTGCACGGCTGTCAATGGCTGTGACATCATCACTGGGTGCCTGGGCCAGTGGCGCCCTAGGCTCACGGGCTGCCTCTGCTAGAACCTTGCGAATCCATGGAGATCTGTGTTATATCCACAGAGAGCTGCATCCGTGAATATACATTTCTGATCTGTGCAGGGCTGTACATCGGAGACACCTAGGCCCGGGAGTGCTGGAGCATGTAGCATTGCAAAGCGCTTTCTGTGTTCACAGCACTGTTCCCACGCGTCCTAGTTCAGCTGTGAGTGCTCTGCACTTGTGCAAATGAGCTCCCAAGTCTCAGCTTGAGCACCCAGAAGGGAGGAGCACACAGTCACTGGCCACGGGGGAAAAGTTTGGTTTGAATGATTTGCCTTGCCTCAGGGGCAGAGGCAGGAAGAGAATCCAGTTCTTCACAGCGGCAGTCATCAGCCTTTCCCTTCCTGCTCCTGCATGGAGGGCTCTAGAGAACCCTGCTTTTGTCACTGTACAGTCTGGATTCATCCCCTAGCCTAGGTCCATCACTGCACTCAGCAAGGCATGAGTTCTGGCATTTCCTGTTGTGCGAGAGCTTGACATGGTGGCATGAATAATGTTCCTTTGAAGCAGCTTTCTCTTCCTGTGTGGGTGTGTGATTTCCTCAGGGGTTTTAAAAAGCAAACTAAAAACGCCAACAAACCCACAAACCAGAGGATCCATCATGTGACATCATTGTGGCACTTGACATGGATCAATAGCTGAGGACCCTGAGACCCAGTGCACAGACCTCTGCCACGTGAGCTCCTGGCAGAACCGTAGCGGGAGCAGGTTGGCATCCTGTCAGGGGTGAAAGTGTTTTAAAAATGTTCCCAGTGGGGGTCCTGGCTCTGAGCCCCTGAAAGGAGCATGGACTCGAGGCGAAGGCCTGCCTCCACCAGCCAGCCTTTTAGCACAGCCTGGTGTGCCCTGCCCGGGACTCCCACTGTGAGTTCAAGGCTCTAGGACTCCAGGTGCTATCAAAGGGAGCCCACCAAGTAATCTGCTGGGTACATTGCTCCTGTAAGCAGGGACTGAAGGACTGCTTGCAATGCAGCCAGCTGAAGTTGTTTAGCCCTGCAAGATAATTAACTGTTGATATGTAAATACAGCTCATGCTGGGATGGGGAAGGAATCCGGGGAGTGGTTATGTAAATCCAATTCAGCCAGGGCTGATGGAGGATCGGTTGTTAGAATGGAATGCGATGTATTTGGCTGTTGTGTGCTCACAAACCATGCTACCCCTACATGTGGGAACTGTAAAATATGACACCAGTGCTTGCAGGAGAGACACCATCATTATAAGGGGTCTCAGATGAACAAGCCTCCCCCTTCCAGAGTTGCGTGGACTAAGTTGGGGGAAGGGGCTTGAGCCAGCCTGCTTCATGCCTGCCAGGTGTGTGCTGTAAGACTGGTTCAGCCTGTCTCCTTTCCCGCCCTGCTGTTCTAAGGATAGACCTAAAGCAGACTCCATGGCTATGTCTACAATGGCAGGTTCTTGCGCAAGAATGGCTATTGTTCTGCGGAGCATCCATGCTGCCCGCCTGCTCTTGCACAAGAAGATTTACAGTACGGCGTGGGAAGAGAGGGCTTCTTGCGCAAGAGCTGCGCTCTTTTCTAACAAGTGTAAGCCCTCTTGCGCAGGAGCTCTTGTGCAAGAGAGTAGTGTGGACATGCGGCAGGGGTTTCTTGTGCAAGAAAACCCTATGGCTAAAATGGCCATCAGAGCTTCCTTGCACAAGAGAGCATCCACACTGCCATGGATGCTCTTGCACAAAAACACATGGCCGTGTGGATGTATTCTTGTGCAAGAACCCGCCAGTGTAGACATAGCCAAGGAGTCTCTCTGTTATTCCAGTGAAAGCTGGATTCTTTTGGCCAGACTACATGATGGCTAAGAGTTGAAATCACTAAGAGCTGAAGTCACTGGTTTGGCCTGGAGCCATACCCATTGTGACTGGCAGGGTGGCTGGCAGGAGCAACCGGCAGGTAGCCAGTAGGAGCAGTGACAGGTGGCCAGCAGGGTGGCTGGCGGAAGTGACCGGTGTTGCAGCCAGTGGGGAGGCTTATCAGTCAACTAGTCGATTTCCTTCCCCTCACCCCACTTGCTGCCTCTGTCAGAGAGAGAGGCAGCTGGGAGGGAGGGGGAGACGGGGTACTTAAAAGCGGCAGCTTCGTACAGCTGAGCCCGGGACCAGCTGTGTGGCGCTGCTGCTTTGAAACGCCAAGGCAATGTTCAAAAGGCGCAGACCTGTACAGCTGATCCCTGGCTCTGGCGGTATTGTCCCTTTGACAGGCTGCCTTGGCATTTCAAAGGGACAGTGCCATACAGCTGATCTGGGGATCAGCTGTGCGGCTGCCCCTTTGAAATGATGAGGCAGCATTCAAAGTGGCAGCGCCGCACAGCTGATCCCAGGATCAGCTGTGCAGCACTGCCGCGCATGGAGCCCAGATTCAGCTAGGGACTCCCCAGCTAACCCAGGCTCCACGTGGCATTTCAAATCGGCAGCCCAACATGGAGCCCAGGGTCAGTGACGTGGCCATTTTGAAACGTACAAGTGCCCCGGCTGGGTACATTTCAAAGAAGGCACACGCTGGCCCCAGGCTGCAGGAGGAGGTCTCCTTCCTCCTCTGAAATGTACAAGAGCCTATCACTAGTCGAGTACTCGCTGGAAATTCCATCGGCTATTCGAGAGTCAACCGTTACTTAACAGCCTTAGTCGTCGGGCCCAGAGTAGAGCTCGTCTGGACTATGCCTGCTCAGGGGAGGTCATTGATCCCTGGCCTGTATGTCTGGGGAAGCCGAGCAGGCTCATGTGACCCTCCATTGTAAGTAGGGTGGAACCCTGGCTCCATCAGCCTGGGATACAGGAGGGTCCCGAAGCTAAGAGAAGGGATTAAAGAGCTTCAGAGGGGAGCTGAGTTAGTCTGTAACAGGAAAAACTTTAAAAACAGCTCATGGTCTGGCAGCACTACAAAACATGTAGCTAGTGGGAGCTTTCATGGGAGCCCAGAGAGACGGGGGAGGGGGAGGAACAGACTTTCTGGGTCCCTGGGCAAGGTGGGGTTGTGGAAGTGGGGGGGCCTTAGGCAGAAGAGACAGGGCTGGGGCCCCCCAGCTAGCCCTGAGCACTGACTGGGGCACACCACTTGATGCTCTGTTGGTGATTCAAAGAGTAGCAACAGTGGTGCCTAGGAGCCCTGGGCCCTTTTGAATCACCAGGCCCTGGGGCAGTTACCCCTCCCCCCCGGCCAGCAGCCCTGAAGAGGGCTCGGATTTCGGTCCCTAAGTAAGCACCCTGGGTGGGAATTCTGGCCCAAATGAAACTACTTCAGTGCAGTGTCCCTGGGCAGAGTGGCTGTGACTGATGGGGCCACACCAGTACCACGGAGACAGCTGGGATTCTCTCCCGGCCCACTCAGCGGCGGGCCACCAAGGAGCTGCGGGAAGGCTTACCCCAGCTAGCGGCAGCAAAGCTCAGGAGTCTGGTGACAGTCCAGCCACGTCTCCAAGCCCTGGGGCTGGAAGAGAGTCCTGTGGTGATGGCCTGGGGGTCAGAAAAGCATGTCCATTAAACCCTGCAGTACTGCACGATAGGCAGGTCTGGGTGCTGACACAGAGACTGGCTTCGCTAGCTCATATCTGTAATGCAGAGAAAATGCGGAATCTCAAAGGGCCAGGGCTGAAGCCTCCGTGCTGAACGGCAGCACAACAGGGACTTGAGGCAAGCAACTCGGTTAAGCAGCAGGTTGGTTGTTCCTGACGGTCCTGGAGCAGGCGACTGAGTGTGAGATGCTGGCCAGTCTCATGAGATCAGCTTTGAGGATGGAGGCAGTTGGTCCATCAATTCGATATACAGTGAGCCTCTCAGTCACTCAGAGCAATGTTCAGCAGTAAGTGACACTAGATTAGAAAAAGGGGTGCCCACTGTGAAATGTTGAAAGCTGAACCCCGCTCCCCGCATTAGAGGAGCAGCCTGATTGTCCCCACAGCTCTGTGGGGCTGTAGGGTGAGGTCTGCGGAGCTGACTCCTAGACCTGGCCTGGGAGATGCGCTGCCATGGGGTTGGGACACAGAGCAGAAGTGCCCTGGGGCCGAGACCAGCCTTGCTCAGAGATCTGGCAGGAAGGAGGGGGTGCTCCGAGCAGCCCTGATTACTCGGCTCACCTGGGTCTCAGCTTCCCCGCTAGCTGTTCCTAGTGATGCTCACAGCCTGGCTGGAATTGGGGACACAGGGCGCAGCCTTTGGCTAGCATTCAGGGAAGTCATTGATGTCAGAGCTCTGGAGGGAAGGTTCCCCATGTGGCTCTTCATCTTTAGCTCTGCATCCGAAGTGGGGATCTCCATGATGTGCATGGCCCTGTGACAGGGCGCTTGCCCTGCACTGGCCCTTTAAGGGCAAACCCCAGCCCCAGCTGAGGCAGTTCTTGCCAATGAGGGTCCAGCTGGGGGCTGTATAAAGGAGGACTCCTGGGCTATGTCTACACTGGCGGCTTCTTGCACGAGAAATATGCAAATGAGGCTAAGCATGGAATATTGCTGAGCCTCATTTGCATACCTAATGAGCCACTATTTTGGCAGAAGAGGCTCTTGTGCTAGAGGGAGCTGTCTACACTGCCCCCTCTTGCGCAAGAGCCCGCCAGTGTAGACATAGCCTGGATTGCAAACAGGATGGGGGGCTCAGACACCCCTGGAAGGGGGGCTCAGACGCTGCCGGCAGGCAGGGTCCTGAAGAGGGTGCCGGGATCAAAGAGAAACACGGGGAGCCACCAGCTAGAGGGAGCCGTCCACCGAGGCAAGCAAGCCAATTCCCAGGACTGCCGGCTGTAGGCGCCATGGTGGGGAGTCTGCCCCGTCACACGGTCATTCAGGGGTTTGCTGGGGCAGAGCCTCTCAGCCAAGTGAGGGGGTGAATCCCAGCTGTGGAGCAGAGAGCTCTCCCTGATACTGCGGGGGGGAGGCTCCTTGGTAGCATGGGATTAGGTAGTGTGGGGAGAGGTCTCCCTGGCAGCTCAGGGGGTCCCCTGGCAGTTTAAATCTGGGCAGAGGGGGGCTCCCCCTGGAAGTTTGGGGGGGCAGTAATGGAGAGGGGGCTCTCCCTGGCAGCTCAGGCTGGGCAGTGAAGGGGGGGCAGCCTGG